AAAAAAAAAAAAAACTAAACAATGCACAAAGAACAAAAGCTTTGGGTGTAACGAGAAACCACAGTCGAAAGAATCATTAGAACTACCTTTAAAATTGACGAAAAAGTAAAGGAAAAAGGGCGAAGTTGCTTGTTGAAACCCTGTTGTGTACTTTACTTTCGGGAGTAGTGATTGATGAAGGGGCGGATTTATTTAAATTGTCTAACTATTTTCGAGTTTTTGATCAAAATTGTCTCTTATGGTTGAGGGTAGGTTTAAATTTGTCCTTTATATATTATTTTGAGCACTTATTGTCCCTTAAGTTTAAATAATTTGATGCACAAAACTAACGGCTGCTTTAGTTCTGTCATGAAATGCCTGACGCCGTAAAAACAAGACCCAAATCGAAGTCTTCTTCCTAGCTAGAGCTAATGAAACTAGATACCTGAATTTGCCAATGATATACTCTGCAACAGTATCCGCTCCTTATTCCTCATAGCTTTCCGAAAGATTCTTGCCCATTCAACTAGTCAAGGAATTACATGAGTTTGAGAAAACTGATCTAGCCGACTAGTTAGCTGCACGTGGAAACTGGAAAGATTGATCTTGTGAGTGAATACCGTGAGCAAATTTGTGAGATTGCTATAGCAGAATCTGCTAAGATAACTTACACTAAAAACTTATTATCTTCAAAGCATGGATGGTTCTCATGCGTTGTTTGACCACTCAACTAAAAATTAATAATTGCAGAAGTGCACTAATGGCCCACCAACATATTCAATCTTTTAGTTTCTGATGCAAAAATGCTCTTCAATGACTGTCTAATTGCAAAAGTAATGGTGAGAACGTTCGTTACAATCATATAATTTTAACAAAAGAGAAATACACAAACAAAAAGAAGAGTCGTTAAAGAGAGAGAGAGCTCTTCTGGCACCGAAGATGAAAACAATCGACGGAGACACTGACGGCGAGAGTAGGTGAAGAAGACCCTGAGCTGGGTTTTATTTTACTGTGCTATGTTCATTGCACTGGGAAAAGAACTTAGACTATCCAAGCACCAAATTTGACATCAAATGTCGTAACATCAAATTTATTCCAAACATTACATCATTTTTTACCCCAAATCTTTTCTCTTTTTTATATTATATTATTATCTTCTATTTACTTTTCATTTTTTATTTCCTTCAAACTAATACTATCTTTTTTCTTTTTTCCGTATCCATTATATATAATTCACATTCACCACTTATATAATCATTTATTACAAAATTATTTTAAAGGATAAATCAATTAAAAGTGAAATCATTGATAAAAGATAATTAAATAAATATTACATCATAGTCAAATTTAATTTAAGTACCACATAAATATTTAACTTTCGCCTCTGTTCTCTCACAAATGCTCGATTAATGCACTACGAAGTGCGAAATGCGCATCTATCCTTAGATATCTTACATTTGCATTTTAGTTTTCACTTTTCAATTTTAGCAACATTTGTATTTTTATTTTTAAATAATGGTTATATATCTTTTTATACAATTATAATAATAATAATAATAAAATTAACTTATAATTTTATATAAATATAATATATATACAAAAATTAATATATCAAAAAAATAGGATATAAAATTAAAATTATAAAGATCTTAATATAAAAATTAATTATATACACAATATATGATAAATTAAAAGTCCAAAAAATAAAATAATTGAATAAAATAATAATAAACTAAATTTGGAGTGATGAATAGTGTTGCACCAAATTTGGTGCAACACTATTCATGCTCTATAATGGTGCAAGATTTAGTATTGCATTGGAGCAAAAAAACACCATTTCTTGCACCAAATTTGGATTTGGTGCAAGAAATGGTGCAGCCTTGGAGATGGTCTTAGAGGTCGTTTGGTTGGAATACGATTTATACCGGTATAAATTATGCTGGTATAAGTTATATTGAGATAAGTTCTGCTGGGATTGTTGTTTATTCATTGTTTGGTATGTTGTATTAAGAATGACAATTGCATAATTTCTAAGAAGAAGGTATAAGTTATATCGGTGCTAATTACCCCACCTTCTATAAGGTATAAGTTATCACAGTGTTAAAATTAACACCAAGATAAGTTATACCTGGTTTGCTAACCAAACAGAATATTAAGGTGGTATTAAATTTTATATCACCCTTATACCTTCTTATACCTCATACCAAACGACCCCTTAGTTTTGTGCATCTGTTTGGGTTTGGTGTTAACAGAGACTAAAGGTGCTCAACTTATATAAACTTAAGAGACTATGAGGATTTCTTTGAAAAAATTCGAACACTATGAGGATTTGCTCTATTCTTAGGCTATTATTTTAGGTTTAAGACTCTCTAAAACTGTATAAAATGTATGTATATATATATAAAGTAAAATAGTTGTTGCATGTGTATTATCTTTACATTCTTATGTACCTACTTAAAAAGAGGAGGAATAAGGATGCATGCATAGATGGGATCTGAGTTTACATAATTATAGTTATAGGCATAGATGATTGCATGAAAAACATTTGGATGCCACCACAGACAAAGTCCTTTGAACAATACCAAACCCTAGAACTTCACTCTTAAAAGTAGACGCGGAGTCAAGATTCTAAAGTTTATAGGTTCTGAATTAGCCATTAAATTTAAGATTTATACATATTTAATTGATTTCATAATATAAATACATAATCTACACAAAAACTCTTAGTCCAAACCCGTAGATAAAATTGTGGCTCCCCCTTGCTTATAAGGAAGCAAACAAAGTCTTGAATTAGCCTAATTAACTTCAAGAGAAATTCAAATTTCTATCCTCCAAATTACGAGTATGCCATTAGTACCCAACATTATATATGCGTAGTTGATCTTAGTAAGATCCATGATTTCATCCAACTTGGTGTAATGATCCGGCCAGTCGTTTCGAGAGTTGTAGTCTCGTTCCCCTCATTTTCTACTCCTTTTGTCTATACAACTGTTATATGACTTATCGGGTTGGTTGGTTCGGGTCCGGAGAGATTTTTGAGTGAATTGAGACACTTAGTCTCATAATTAAAATCTTAAGTTGAAAAAGTTGATCGGATGTTGACTTATGCATAAACGACCTCGGATTTAAATTATGACGGTTCCGTTAGCTCCGTTGGGTGATTTTGGACTTAGGAGCCGAATTGTGATTTGGAAGTCCGCAGTAGAATTAAACTTGAAATGGCGAAAGCTAGAATTTTGGAAAATTTGACCGGAAGTGGACTTTTTGATATCGGGATCGGATTGGATTTCCGAAAGTTGGAGTAGGTTCGTGGGTCATTTGTGACTTGCGTGCGAAATTTGAGGTTAATCGGACGTGATTTGATAGGTTTTGACGTTGTTTGTAGAATTTGAAAATTTCAAAGTTCATTAGGCTGGAATACGTGTGCAATTCGTGTTTTTA